GGGCCCAAGACCGAGCCCTGGGGGACCCCATTTGTAATAGACAGAAGGCCTGACTCATTTCCATTTAGACTAACATAATGCTTCCTGTTGGACAGATATGAGGATAAAAGATTCAGCATTTTTCCTCTAATGCCGTAGTACTCTAATTTATGAACCAAAATGTCGACATTGACAGTCAAACGCCTTGGTGAGATCGCAAGCAGTAGCTTTCGTGCTAGCAGCCTCATCGAGTCTCTCCACAACATTTTTCACTATTTCCAAAAGTGATTTTATTGTGGATTTGTTTTTTCTAAATCCATATTGTAAATTTTGGATTTATCCTCACAATATTTAACTAGCCTTAGTTTAATTATAATTTCTAATATTTTACTAATAGTGGGAACAGTTGCTATTGGCCGATAATTGTTAAGATTATATCGAATGGACCTTTTTTATGTACAGGTAAAATTCTAGTAATTTTTAGTAAGTCAGGCCGTACTCCCTCATGTACGCACTTATTAAACATACATGTCAATGGTTCCAATAAAAGATCAAGAGAAACCTTGAACATGTCACTATTTAAGCAGTAATAGTCTAAGTGAGAAGTATTATTAAGAAGTAATATAGCCTGCTGGATGTCTTGTACTGAAATAGGTGATATAAAAATGAACATGAGAGCTTTATTTAGAAATACTATTGGATCAATCTTAATACTTTCTGAAGTAGACTGGACTGCAGTCTACTTTAGAAGGTAAGAATAAATTAAATCTTTTTACTGTGATTTAAAGTTTTCTTCAACTCTGATAATATTCCACTGACCCATGAATAAGTATAATATTCAGATAAAACACAAACAGTATTCAAGTATAATCTGCAAATTTAGAAAATATTGTTAAAATATTGTTATGTCCTTACATATCGTAACATTTTTTTATTGAAACCTGCAATACAATATCATTTTCCTTTGATATGTCAAGAATATAGTTATTCAGACTGTTATTTGATTTAGAAAAAATGTATGCATTTTTGTCTTAAGGCAGTTACAGAATTTTGACGCAATTGATGTATTTTTGGATGCTTCGAATTTAATCTTTAATATTTCTTAGGGAAAAGTGTTTTGTTCTTTATGCGAATAAGTATAGTATAATAGCAAGAGTATAGTTCTTCAGCCCATTATCTGATTTAAAAAAACAATGCATGCATTTTTGTCTTAAGGCAGTGATCTTTATATTCGTATGTTATATGAATTTCCTCATAAATGAAAAGGACAATTTTACTATTGTGTACATAATTTTGTTACTACGATTTTCGAGCTAATTTTGTAACCAGTCCATGTATCCGCCCCATAAGAGATGCCACCCACGTACTGTCCGCTGTTATATCTCTACCAATTGTAATATGAAACCTCATGTTGTTTTGGATGTGTTAAGTATTAATTACAGTGACGTTTTTATTTGCCCTGAGATTTATATACGTGTTGATAAGTATTTTGAAAAATACCTAAGAACCACATTACCAGCTGCAATAAATTTTTAGTGAAGTGACGCAAAGTCGAGGATTTCATGAATGGATATAACATAAAAGAGATGCGACGTGATTTTAGTGAGCTTCTCCTGATAGATTTCCTGATATTTTAATATGTATGAGCGGTTAAACGGACGTGCCGTTTGAAGTTCCACGATATTGTAAAGGAATTTTTATTTGAATAGTCTACATATTATTATGAAGAATATTACCCTTTACCTCTTTTGTTTGTCTTTATACCTTAACATTTTTATTTTTTAAATTACTCGTTATAGAAAAAAATATATTCGGGGTTTTAGAATGGAAAATATGTATATATCTTCATATATCCTTTTTTCCAAAAATGGGTAACAAGGGTGATGTCCATATATTTCATTAAAATGGAACAGCAAATGCTATTTTTTGCATTACCTTAAAAGTCATTCGAGAAAGGTTGTATTAGATAAAAGTAAGGGTGAGATTACATAATCACGTAACAATTTGTAGGTACATGAACAAAGTGTTAGTTTGTTCACAGTGATCTTTCAAGGAAATAATATTAAATTTTTTATTAATAATTGCTCCACTCATTATAAAATCTTAAAACGTGAGAATCCTGTTTAGAATTTACCCAATAGAAACGTAAATGTTATATTTAAGTGACTAAATTTATTCTACACATATGCAAAGAACAATGTTTTTAAAGTCTGAGGTGATTTGAAATATCCGCTATTTCTTTAATCTTACTGTCTTCTGCAACAAAGTAATATATGTGACAATTAAATGTACTTTTACTATCGAAATATTTCAGATACCTCTTTAAGGTTAATTTGATTAATATTATAGCAAACAAATACTTATTAATATTCCTAGTAAGGGTAAAAAATAAACATTTATTTATGTTAAGAAAAAGTTTATTCATTGACCAAGGCTCAAGGAATCTATCAAGATCTGTTTGAACTAGAGAACAGTCAGCTATACTATTTATTTAAGGAAATATTGTTATACCATCGGCATACACTCAAAATTTACTGTACTGCAAACACTAGTATATGTCATTGAGGTAGATAATAAAAAACACTAGCCACAGTGGGGAGCCCTGAGGCACACCAGACATACTTAAATAAGAAGCAGAATAGACGCCATTTAATGACACAATTTGTGACCTATTGAATAAGTAATAAGATAATCAACGAAGTCGATTTTCACTAATTTAGCGATGAGTACGTCGTGAATAATAGAAATATACGTACAAGAATACATTTTTTTATGAACACACAGTGTCACTGATAATTATGTATGGAAATGGTCACTTATTTCTTAAAATAAGACAGCTATCGAAAAATCGTATGACACAAACGTTTTAGGATTTTTTAAAAATCTATTGATTGTATCAGTCAAAAAGTCATGACTGAACAAAGTTGCTTTTTCTTTAATGGAACACTCTGTGTATTATTCCATATTTCAATTCTTCTGCAACTTCAAAACAAAATTCATATAGCACATCATGTACCTAAATTAACCGTTTTCGAGATACCGAACATGGAAAGAAACTTTTTACTACTCTCAAATTTATAAAAGAAAAAGGGCCCCAAATTATGGATATTTATTTTGAAAATAACACAAAGTGGAGGATATGGATATGATTTAATATTATTAGTAGTTTTTTACGAAAAACAAAAAAGCATAATAGTTCAAGGTTGATAAAAATACGTGAAACGAATAAATGTTTAATGAATGTCCTGGATATTTTAAATTTTATGAAAACAATAGTTATGCGAGAATAAAACAACAAATATTTTCTCCGAAATTCTATTTTACAAGGTGGTCAGCGTGTTCTCCATTTACCACCAGACAGTAATGACTTCGCCGAACAAAATTTTGTAGTGTATAAAGGGTGTTGGGAAGAATAGTGGAAATGTCATGGCTTATACTTTCCTGCAACTCTTCGATATTTTGCGACCAATTTTTTATAGACTACATTTTTTATGTGACCCCACAGAAAAAAATCAAGCGGGGTCATATCGGGAGACCTAGCTGGCCATTTAATTGCCCCTCTGCGTCGAATCCAATTGTCAGGAAAAGTTTCATCTAGATACGTCAGTACCACACGCCCAAAATATGGAGAAGCCCCATCATGTTGAAACCATATTTGTTCTGTCGGTAAATTGATATTGTTATTGTTCGGGAATAATCGTTTAAGCTCTGGAATAATATGTTCTTGCAAAAGTAATAAATATCGTGTCAAACTTCCTTATATAAAATGACTTATCCACCAATAGTGCCACACCAAACATTTACTTTCTGTGGTCGTTGGGTGTGAACTTCCTCCATCCAATGTGGATTTTGATCTGATCAATACTTACAGTTGTGTCGGTTTACTTGTTCATTTAAACAAAATGAAGGTTCGTTAGAAAACAATATGTGACTGAAGTTGATATTTTCGTTTAATTTATTCATAATAACGTCGCAGAACTCGATTATATGATCATAATTGTTTTCACTCAATTCTTGTATGTATGTTTATATGAAATTTTTTCTTATTTATACTCTGCCTTAAAAAAAACTTAAAAATGTACCTATGATTAAAAATACACATTAAGCTATTTAGGCCAGTGATACAATATTATAGTCTTTCCGATCTCAATTGAAGAACCAAGAGGTTGACAGTATGTACCAGGTCCGGTCGCTGACGCAGCAACTCGGCATCGAAATATTTGAAAAACTTGTTCCCATATTTATTTAGCCATACCCATATACAGGTCTGGTCGCCCAGTTGAAGGATGAGCACGTGGGAAAACGCGGTACAAACACAGCCGCACTGGGCTATAAACTTAGTTGGCCTATCAGTGCAGTGCAGTAATGCGGAATTTGGTGTGATTCAGGTAATTTTAATTATTTTAGGCACCTTCTATTAATCTTTCATATTACAATAGCGAAAGGAAAATAAGAGGGATATTTGGTTCGTTAATATTATTACAACAGGGCACTTTGGAGACGTTTTGAAACGGAATAAAACGAAATTTGCCATCAATATAATAAAATTCTTTGAGGACATAAATAATTGAAATGTGTTGTTGGTCAAATGAACATATAATAGAAATGTTCTACACATTGTATACAAATTATTATAATTTTTTACCTTTAGCAGAAAATTTTTTTAGGGACGTCTATAAAACTAATTAAATTTTATTGCTAGGCGTTTTTATACATGTTCGACTGACTTCGGAAAGACTATGCTAGTATGTCTTTCAGAAAACCCTGTATTATATTATAGCAGATCGTAATTCAGCAATAAAAGTAATGACCACTAGACTAGCAGGATGGTGGGTGTCCGTTGTTTAAGTTCAACAACGATTTCTTATTAATCGCCTATAATTTACCTTGAAATTATAAATATAAAACTAAGGTATAGACTGCTTTGCTTGCATTCTCCAGCTTAGACGGCATATATTGCGGCAATAAATACAGAATTTATTAAGTACCTAACAAAAATAATAAGCATTATTTTGTTACAGTTGGATGATGCGGCACTTCAGTTGTACAAAGATGGGGATTATGGATCTTACCTTGACCTCGAAGCCTCCATAAGCGAACAGCAAGAGGAGTTTGAGGGTTTTCAATCAAAGTGAGTATGATGTATAGTCACTTTATCTAATGATGTATCAGTGTCTGTTATACGTATTATGGTGGACGGTAACTTGGATGCCTGTGACAATCGGTTTTTAATTTGTTGTTTAATATCTGAAATTATTGCGGGTGCTGGGAAAAGTTCTCCCCATTAAATTAAAGAGCAGCACGGTGAGGGTTAACGAACCGTATCAGACGTGCTATTATACGAGGCGTGTCAACAAGTATGTTATGGTTTTAATTAATTATCTATAGAAGAAATTTACTAAACTTTCGATTAAATATTTAAATCCTATTCACATACGTAGAAGACGTAGTAAGTAATTTTCTATTAAATTACTTTATATGTACATAAATACAGGAAAAGTCAGTATTTATATTTCTATGTACAGGGTGTTTTTAAATGAAGTAGCAAAAATGGTACCACTGAATATAGAGCCCAAAATAAGAGGATTGAAGTAAAAATACCTTATATGAAAGTTGCAATGAGGGGATTGAAATTCACATTTTAATTATTCTCTTTAACATGGGGAATGCTAGAGACACGAAACTTGGTATAAGCATCCTACTAATAAAGAGACAATTTTTCAATATTTTTTCGATCATTGACGTATATTATAAAGGAGTGAAACAGTCAACCCCATTGCAATATGTCATTAGAAATTTTTTATATGAAGCAAATTATTTATTTAAAAATATTTATTCGGAAGACTGATTTATTGCGCAACTCTGTTACGTCTTGTAATTTTTTACGATAAAACCGATAGTTTTCTAGTAAAAAAATTAGATGCGTCATCGTTCACTAAAGGGGTAATTACTAATTACTGCTAAACATTTTAAACAAATAATCCCTTGTTTCAAAAGGATCAAATAAGGGGTTGATTTTATGAATTTAGTTTTACCTAACCGACCCAGAAATTTTTAAAATGTCAACCGTGTCATGTATTGTAGTAATTATCATGTAAACAAGAAGAAATATCTACTTTCTCTACCTGATGCTTCCATTGTTAAGTCAAATAGAAACAGCAACAAAAAAAAATAAATAATTACGGACAGTATGGAAAATGTTTGGTTAATTAAAAATATATTATTAATACTCTGTCTCTGTCTATACCTTATATGGCTGTGTTTATTTTAAATATTTGGAGACATTTTCTTAATAATTTACTATTTGCGCATTGGTTATTTATAATTTATCATGTTTACCATTTATTCAAATTGTAACTGGGTAAGCTATATGCAACCAGATTTACTATAATGTCGGCTCAGCTTTAATGTTTGATGGTCTTATATCGATGCAGATTTAACTTGGATGAATAAAACAATGCTTATCTAGATAGTACTTACTTGTAGTTTCTTTGAAAAATATAACAAGGATTCTTTTCAAATTTGTATAAATATTTAAATAAAACATAAGTTGTATTTAATTTCACCTAAAGATAATCCGTTCAAAAATCAAAATTAACTTCCTTCATCAATATAATTTAGTTTTTTTATTGATTGGGATAAACAGGCACACTGTTTTGATGGAAACATAATTCCCATAACATGATTACATTCTCAGGAATATTGGTAAATATTTGTGTACTTCGTGACCTAGTTCGATAATCGTTAGGAAAAATACGTTCCTCACCCCTTATGTCAACACCCACAATCGTTGCTATTGTTAACAATCCCCTTATACATATAGAGTGTACCCTGGAAATTTTACACTGAACAGAAAAGTTTCTATTAATATATGGTCGTAAAAGCTTCCTTACTGAGGCAAATATGAAAAACCTGTAGAAATTACCTTTGTATGGTCTAGCTCATATGATTGGCTTGAATATTAGATTTACAACTGATTAGGCTGGCTTTTAATCTCATCGACCAAAAATTTAAATGACCAGAAGTTTCACTAAAAGGAGTTTTATAAAAAAGTGTTGCTTCCTATAATCTGAGGGAAAAATAAGCTGAAATTATTTTTAGAGGTAGGAATTTATTTTCATCCTAACATTTCCTATATGATCCCAAATTTAGAATCTAAATCTATAAAGGTATAAATAAATATCCAATAAATGAAAATAAAGCTCTCTTTAAGTTTCAATGTGTCACTTCTATTTGCCCTTTGAGATGACGAGAGCATTTTCATTTAAAAGTAATCCGAGTAAAAAATTAAATAACTCAAGTATTTTGAGAAAACCTTTTCTGAATAGCAACGCTTTTTTAAATAAAAAAGTAACGCCAGTAGAGATATTCTGAATGTTTATTCATCAATTAATAACGAGAACTATAACAGTTGTGGAATTAATAATAAAATAATTGAAATAACAGCAATTCTAAATTATGGCGAATGCGCCGCGTGCAGAAAGTCATTTTGCATTATTCTAAATGCAAAGCAAATTTAAATTATATTTCTAATTAATAACATGGAAGAACCAATTATAGATGTTTTATTTAAGTAGTTTAATTGTTTTAATTAAATTTATATTTGGTTTGAATCAAATATTAGGATTTTCCCTTTTGAGCAGGATATGAGCTTCAAACTTATTATTGGTTTAGTAAAGATCAACTTCAGTGAATATTTTTCTCTTCTATAAATAAACCATATTTAGGTATATAATTTTCGTTTATACATACAACTTTACTAATTTTTAACTTCAGTAAAATGAAAGACTTTTTATATATATTTATTTATATATAAATTGTTTAATTTTTTTGGAAAAAATGTCTGTTTCATATAAAACATCTCATAATCTCTTTCCTTTCCGCAGAGCAGCTTATAAACATAAAGTAGAGAACCCACAACGCTCTGTTGCGTTGCCAGTTGCATACATTTGATTAGCAATATTGAGAAGTTTGCTTAATAGTGTTTTGCATTTCTATTGAATATTGGGCATAAATGATTTTTCTGCATCTACCATAGCTATCTATTTGGAAATAAATAATAATATTTAAAATATTATTTAATAAAAATTTTTTGTAAGTGTAGTGACGAAAACTGTAATTATATTTTAATTTATATGATTGATCTATCTATGAAATAGATAGCAAGAAAATTTTTTCCATTCGTACTAAATATCTTTATTAATAACTGTAGTTTCAAATGCAACAAATATTATAAAATAAACTTCATAGTACTATAGATAACAAAAATATTATTTCAAATGCACAATTAAATTACTATCGTTTATAAACCAATATTAATTGATCTCTGATGTCAGCTGACCTAATGACAATATTCATTAAAATTGTATTTATCACAATAATAGTAGCATATCACATTTAAGTGAGTACACATTTGCTCAATTAGAGTTGATTGTTAATTAATAACAAAAATTATTTCAAGGTTACTATGAGTACGCAGTATGGTCCATTATAACTAGTTTAAAGAACATAATTCGGGAATACCATAGTACTTAAAGATATTTACCGTTAATTAAATTTTAGATTAGGTCTGGCCTCGTTTATACGGAGGTTTATTGAAAGTCTATATAAATTATTATTAGATCTAAACTACGTGAGAGGTAGGTAATCATCGATTAATTTGAAAAATTACGTTTGCTGGATAATGATTTTTCTACAGGGTGTCCCATTTAATTTGCCGGACTGAAACAGATGGAACAGCATTTGACTTCAAGAAAAAGGATGTTTAAATTCGCATTTAAAAATCAATATATTAATTTTATATCTTAAAATGATATTTTCTTTTGTACATGTACTATTTTTACTGTTAACATTTTTATTTTTGATAATAAGTTATAAGAAATGTATTTGAATGTGTTTAGTTACATATTATGTCTCTATTATATTTATAAGAAAATTGGTACATAATATGAAAAATATTATACAATTGATTTCAGTATTTGTTTAAATTTATCTTTCTGAATATCTACTTTATAAGTGTTCGTAGAAAATGGTTATTAAATGCTTAACAGTATTCTGTAGGTAACATTTATAAAGTTTATCTATAGACTGCCCTGCATATGAAAATAATTTTACATCATTCTGCTATTGGCAACCGAAAAACATAATTTCCTTCTTAAAATGAATCTTCACTTCCGCCATAGATGTGCATTCACATCGTTGTACAGATACTCTCGCTTTCTGGCAATCGTCCTTATACTTTTCCTTCTCCCACAAAGATCTTTCGTGGGTATTTGCTTTATGATAGTGGCTGTCATTTTCATAATAATATAATTTTAATGACGACACATTTAATAATAGAAAGCTGTATACTTCTAAATAAATTTTATGGCTTAAGCAATAAGGAAGAACATATATACTAACCGATTTTTTTCATGTACACGAAAATAGACTAAATGGAAACAGTTTTGCTTCTTTTTTAAAATTTTATTTTCCACCTTAATCTGTAGGACTATAATTAATTTTTTCGGTCACATGTTACAGATTAAGTTTTTGTCATTAAATGTGCAAAAATTATTTTAAAACCGTTGGCATGTGAAGCATTTTCGACTGTATGTAACTATATATGTATATTAACACTTGACATGGATTTGAATTGTCAGGATCATCCTATATCCCAGGTGAGTAACAAACTTAAGGAAACTTATTTGGAGAGTGTCCAAACAGATATTTAGAAATGCTCGAAGGTTACGAAAATATTAGAGAATTTGTATTTATAGCAATCTTGGAAATTATTTTTCGTTTTGTTAATACAAATTTTCTTAGTTAGTCACCATATAACCTAAATATTTTATTGGCATTAACCTAAAATAAATTAATTATCAGTATAAATATTTTTGTTTTCAATGCTCATCTTAAAAATGTTTTAAAATTTGTCGCTTTAAGTTACTGTCAAATAAAATATAAAATAAAGTATCGACATTTAACAATAATTTTAGTAGGAATAGTATGTTTCGCAACAGATGAAAATGCGGTTTTCTCGTGGATGAGGAAATTGTACACAATCGAACCAATAGCGAGTAGGACAAGTTTAAATTCAATATGTTCATTAAACGCTTTGAAAATTGTAAGTTTTGCATTTTGCGGAAAGTA